CACAATGAAAACCTGTGACTTTGTATAACTAAAAGGCTGGCTTGTATACAAGTTTTAGGCAATTTTTAGACATTTTGCCAAGGCACCCCTGAAAAAACATCAAGGCACCCCAGGGTGCCTGGACACCCTGGTTGAGAAAGGCTGATCTAAGACATATAAGAAGCCAGGGATGACCAGGATCTTCCATAGGTTGACTTTCTCTGCCAGGCTCCTCCAGAGTCTGACTCACTCTGCCAGGCTCCTCCAGAATTTGACTCACTCCACCAGGCTCTTCCAGAGACTCACTCACCCCAGTAGACTCTTTCGGAGGCTAATGCATTCAACCAGGCTCTTCCAAAGGCTGATTCACTCTACCAGGCTCTTGCAGGGGCTGACCCAACCCACCAGCCTCATCTAGAGGCTGAATAACTCCTTAAGGATCTTCCAGCCACCCCATCATTCTATTTCAGAGGCTGGCTCACTCAACCAGGCTCTTCCAGAGGCTGACTCGCTCTACCAGTTTCTTCTAGGGGCTGACTCCTCTTTCCAGGCTCTTCTAGGAGTTGACTCAACTCCACATACTCTTCCAGAGACTGACACACCCCACCAGGCTCTCTCAGGGGTGACTCACTCCACCAGGATCTTTCACAGGTTGACTCACTCCATCATGCTTTATCAGCAAATGACTCCCTCCATCTTTTCCAGAGGCTGACTACCCCACCGGGCTCTTCCTCTTACTAAAATAAAATCTTTGGTTGAGCTGACCCTTCAAAATTTCAACCAAAAATAATTCCAAAAACGTACTTAAAACACATAGACATATTGAAATCTTAGATTAATGATGCAATCTGGTGCAGGTTAGCAGTATGACATCAATATTTGGGATCCAAGAATGTTCCCACATTGATGTTTGAGAGGCCAAAATACTAGCTGTATTGAGATAATGACCATGGAGGGCCTATTCACTAAACCATTTCGGCGTAAGCTAAATTCTAATTGGACTATGGGTTACTGCAATGGCAGACAATGACTTATTGCACAAGACTTCATTTGCTAAGTAATACGGCACTTTGAACTTATTATTTACTCCAACACAAATAAAAAGCACAACCACATCTTAAAGGTTACCTTCATTTGTTAAATTGTTTTGGCTCAGTTTTACATACAATAAACTGCCAAATTGCATGGAAAAATGATAAGCTTTCTGTCGTAGAAGCATTTCTGTTCTTGCGACCGTTGTACTGGGTTATCTGCCTTGCAGCCTCTCTCGGGAGCTCACCTTCATAGATAGACAGAGAGATTGCACTACCCAAGTCACACCTGAATAAGCTTCCCTTTACAAAGAAGCTAAATTTCCTTTTATCAGAATGTACATCAGTTGAACATAATAAAGTGAGTATGCAGCATAAAGATCTGTACATTTCATGAGTCAAGAGCCAGCAGAGGGAACGGAGATGACTGCATATTATTTAGCCATAAAGAGTCTTTTGATCCCTCTTTATATGGTCTTCACCGGTCTTCCTGTCAGTTGTACAGCTAAATGTACCCTTAAGACTCTTGAAGTTGACAGACAGGGCAAATATCAAAAAGTAAAACATATCAGTTTTAATAAATATTGCTAGATTTCAGACAAGCAGGTATTTTTTTTTTTTTATGCTCTGGGTTTGCTGTTCAAAGCCCTCCTGCATTCAACTTTGTTTGCTTCCTTGCTGAATAAAAGTGCAGGACAAACCGACTTGGACTGTTCCTGGTTCTCCTTGTCTCCTGCGTGGTTTACCGCTGCCAATACCATCTGAGCCTGTCTTCCTTACAACAGACACAGAAGGAAAGTTGTCATGCAATACTTTGAACTCTCTGTATCACGTGCATTTAGGGTTAGACAGTGACCCCATTTTTTCACTTCATCCCCAAATTGCGTCAAGATGAAATGGGGGAAGCATTTCACATGTCTATGAGGATTTTCCTAACTTTGAATAGATTTCCTCTTACATCCTTAGTTACATAGTTAATCTGGCTGCAAAAAGACAAAAGTCCACCCAGTTCAACCATTAAAAAAAAGTTATAATCCTATACCAACAGTTGATCCAGAGGAAGGCAAAAAACACAGCAAGGCATGATCCAATTTGCTCCTACAGTGGAAAAAAATTCCTTCCTGATCCCCCGAGAGGCAATCAGATATTCCCTGGATCAACTTTACCTATAAATGTTATATCCAGTTATATTATGTGTATCCAAGAAAGAATCCAGGACTTTTTTAAAGTAATCAACTAAGCTGGCCAGAACCAACTCTTGAGGGAGTCTATTCCACAGTGAAGAAACCTTTCCGTGTTTGGAGATTACATTTCTTTTCCTCCAGAAGTAAAGAGTGCCCCCTTGTCCTCTGTGATGACCTCAGGGTGAATAACTCTACACCGAGTTCACTATATGAACCACTGATGTATTTATACATGGAGATCATATCCCCCCTTATGTTTTATACATGGAGATCATATCCCCCCTTATGTATTATACATGGAGATCATATCCCCCCTTATGTTTTATACATGGAGATCATATCCCCCTTATGTATTATACATGGAGATCATATCCCCCTTATGTATTATACATGGAGATCATATCCCCCCTTATGTTTTATACATGGAGATCATATCCCCCCTTATGTATTATACATGGAGATCATATCCCCCTTATGTATTATACATGGAGATCATATCCCCCCTTATGTATTATACATGGAGATCATATCCCCCCTTATGTATTATACATGGAGATCATATCCCCTTCCTTATGTATTATACATGGAGATCATATCCCCCCTTATGTATTATACATGGAGATCATATCCCCCCTTATGTATTATACATGGAGATCATATCCCCCCTTATGTATTATACATGGAGATCATATCCCCCCTTATGTATTATACATGGAGATCATATCCCCCCTTATGTTGTTTTATACATGGAGATCATATCCCCCCTTATGTATTATACATGGAGATCATATCCCCCTTATGTATTATACATGGAGATCATATCCCCCCTTATGTATTATACATGGAGATCATATCCCCCCCTAATGTATTATACATGAAGATCATATCCCCCTTATGTATTTATACATGGAGATCATATCCCCCCTTATGTATTATACATGGAGATCATATCCCCCCTTATGTATTATACATGGTGATCATATCCCCCTTATGTATTATACATGGAGATCATATCCCCCCTTATGTATTATACATGGAGATCATATCCCCCCCAATGTATTATACATGGTGATCATATCCCCCTTATGTATTATACATGGTGATCATATCCCCCTTATGTATTATACATGGAGATCATATCCCCCCTTATGTATTATACATGGTGATCATATCCCCCCTTATGTATTATACATGGAAATCATATCCCCCCTTATGTATTATACATGGAAATCATATCCCCTTATGTATTATACATGGTGATCATATCCCCCTTATGTATTATACATGGTGATCATATCCCTCCTTATGTATTATACATGGAGATCATATCCCCCTTATGTATTATACATGGAGATCATATCCCCCCCTTATGTATTATACATGGAGATCATATCCCCCTTATGTATTATACATGGAGATCATATCCCCCCCTTATGTATTATACATGGAGATCATATCCCCCCTTATGTATTATACATGGTGATCATATCCCCCCTTATGTATTATACATGGTGATCATATCCCCCCTTATGTATTATACATGGAGATCATACGCCCCTTAATCTCCTCTTCTCAAGAGAGAATAAATTCAGTTCCTCTAATCTTTCCTCATAGCGGATCTCCTCCATGCCTCTTATCAGTTTGGTTGCCCTTCTCTGTACTTTCTCCAGTTCCCCAATGTTCTTTTTGTGAATTGGTGTCCAAAACTGAACTGCATATTCCAGATGAGGTCTTACTAATGATTTGTATCGGGGGAAATGATATCTCTCTCTCTGGAATCTATACCTCTTATAATACAAGAGAGGATTTTTCTCCCTTTAGAACCCGCAGCTTGGCATTGCATGCCATTATTAAGCTTGTGATCTACCAGAACCCCCAGATCCTTCCCCACCATTGAGGCATGTCTATGTGAATTCTCCTAACTTTGAATAGATTTCCTCTTACATCCTTCTGTGTCTATAGGACAGAACACGAAGGAAAATCTTTCGAAATAAACACAGATGGCAGAAAAAAGACCTGATGTGTTTTAAACTTTCCATAATTATTTAAAATTTAACAATGTTGTAAATAGTTTATTTGCGTATTTAGGGTTCATACAAACTGGCTTTAAAAACGTCAGTGCTCTTAGCAGAACAAATGCTAATTTTGAGGTTTTTTTGTACTAGAGTGTAGAAGCGTTTAGCAGCATTTAGGAGCATTTAGCATTTTTTTTCTGCCAGATAACCTCTCTCAAAAAACAGAAAAAAGAAGGGTTTTTTTACTGCCTCTAAACGCTGAACTTAAAATATGAATCTAAACAACCTAATGTGCATGGACACATAGAATAACATTAGTTGCTTCTACAAGCAAAACACTAAACTTCTCTAATAGCAGCTTTTTTTAGGCTTTTTTCTAAGCCCCTGATTGTCTATCTTTCTATATTTACCAGGTCAGGATGACAGACAAGGGCAGAGATGACAACCGTGTGAGCCAATGGAAGCCTTTTTGCACAATGCTTTTGGTCTAACACTGTCAGCTGGCTAACAGGAAGGGGTATCAAAGTGATGACCTCATCATTGTAGTAATGCCTCTTTCAATCATCAGACTGGGGACAGGGTGGTATTAAAACTGTATTGCTTAACTACAGTGTAGAAAAGTGATGATGCTGACTTGGTTATGACATCTGTTAGGGGATCCCTGGTTCACAAAACTAACAGAACCAAATTTCAATTGCAAACGTGTATTTCAACTGTGTTTTTTCGCTGTTTCCCTGTAGTTAGTTTTAATAATATGAAGTAATAAAACTGTTCATAAGACAGAAAAGTACCTGATTCCCCCCAGGATGGCAATAGTAAGCCCCAGGGCCAATCCATGGGCTAGAGCTGGTTGCAGGCTTCCAGTTAGGTTGTTCATGATGACAGACATGCAGCCAATGAAAACAAAGAGCATGGTGCCTACGAGCTCCGCTATGCACGGTTGTACATATACTTCATACCAATGAAGTTTTGGCTGCTTTTTGGGGCAGTCCTCTTCCATGTCTTTTTCTATGTCTTTAAAGGATATCTGGCCTAGTTCCGTGTCCCCCATATCTACAAAGAGAATATCAGTCTGTTATGAAAAGTTTATGGAAAATGTTAAACTTTGAACCTCTATAATGCTTTTATATATGTTATGCATAAGATTACAGGCACCTGAAATAAACAGTTAGATAGAAGTATGTTGATTAACTTCCTGCAGGAATTTTACAGGTTCATTAAGGAAATCTAGAACAACAATATATGTGTAAGATTAACTTTTATGACTGTATAAATAACCCGGTTTATGGCGGAGTTCAATACACCAAAGATGAGCTTTGTTCATCAGCCAGGTGAATGCAGCTCATACTGAAAAACTATATTAAAAAACGTTCCTGCACTGTTTACACTCCAGCCATGACATACTAGCAGTTTCAGACAGGTAATCTTTGAAAGATTGAGAGAAGATGTAAACCCTACATGAATTACATTTAGTTTGCTAAAGTGTTGTTATAAACTATTGCCATTTTTAAATAAAATACTTGTTTTCACCTTTTTAAAAAATTTTCTTGCATGCTCATGATGCTGATCTCCTGCAGCCAATTCTGGATTACATGTATGCACCCCAGCAATGGCTGCATGGCTTTCCTTGTGACAGGTGGTGAAAACAGTAGACCATGCCTATGTATGTGTGTTGAATGGGCCACCTTTAGACAACATCAAAGGCCAGTATGGCAGAGTGACAACACAGGGAATCAATTGGTAGACAGGGACACAGCATTGTTACTCTATAACAGGCAATGTCTAAACAATGACTTCCAATGAAGGATTAAAGTCATGTCAAGACCTAGTGATCCTGCCAGGGATGTCGTTGATTAAGGTTCAGATTAAAAAAAACATTAAAATTACTGTAATATGGTAAAGCTTATTTGGGATTTTAGTGATAACGGTTTACATATACAGTTGTATGCAAAAGTTTGCAGAAATTTTGACATTTTGGCATTGATATTGAAAATATGACTGACCATGCCAAAAAATGCTCTTTTTTTGAAGGATGATAATCATATGAAGCCATTTATTATCAAATAGTTGTTTGGCTCATTTTTAAATCATAATGATAACAGAAATCACCCAAATGGCCCGGATCAAAAGTCTCCCTCCCCTGGAATGTTTGGCCTTGGTACAGACACACAAGGTGACACACATGGGTTAAAATCCCAATTAGAGGTTAATGTCCCACATCTGTGGCTTTTTAAATTGCAATTAGTGTCAGTGTATAAATAGTCAATGAGTTGTTAGCTCTTACGTGGAAGCACTGACTAGGCTAGATATTGAGCCATGGGGATCAGAAAAGAACTGTCAAAAGTCCTGCGTAACAAGGTAATGGAACTTTATAAAGGTGGAAAAGGACATAAAAAGATGTCCAAAGCCTTGAATATACCAATCAGTACTGTTAAATCACCTATTGAGAAGTGGAAAGTTCGGGGATCTCTTGATACCAAGCCAAGGTCAGGTAGACCAAGAAAGTTTGCAGCCATAACTGACAGAAGAATTGTCCGGGATTTAAAGAAAAACAGGCAACCTCGAAAGAAATAGAGGCTGCTCTGGAAAAAGATGGTGTGGTTGTTTTTAAGGAGTACAATACGGTGATACTTGAACAAAAATTAGCTGTTTGGTCGAGGTGCCAAAAAGAAGCTTTTACTGCGCCAATGCCACAAAAAGCCCGGCTACAATATGCCTGACAACACCTTGACATGCCTAACCGGGCCTTCTTGTGTCATTGATGCAGTAAAGGCTTCTTTCTGGCACCACGACGATGCAGCTCATTTTTGTTCAAGTGTCATCATATTGTGCTCCTTCAAAACAACCACACTGTCTTTTTCCAGAGCATCCTGTATTTTTCTTGTGGTTACCTATACGTTTCCCTTTGTATCCCGAACAATTCTTCTGGCAGTTGTGGCTGCAGTCTTTCTTGGTCTACCTGTACTTGGCTTGGTATCAAGAGGTCCCTGAATTTTCTACTTCTTAGTGGAAGTAATGACTGGCATATTCAAGGCTTTGGACATCTTTTTATGTCCTTTTCCACCTTTATAAAGTTCCATTACCTTGTTACGCAGGACTTTTGACAGTTCTTTTCTGATCTCCATGGCTCAGTATCTAGCCTAGTCAGTGTTTCCACGTAAGAGCTAACAAACTCATTGACTATTTATACACTGACACTAATTGCAATTTAAAAAGCCACAGATGTGGGACATTAACATCTAATTGGCATTTTAACCCGTGTGTGTCACCTTGTGTGTCTGTACCAAGGCCAAACATTCCAGGGGAGGGAGACTTCTGATCCGGGCCATTTGGGTGATTTCTGTTATCATTATGATTTAAAAGGGAGCCAAACAACTATTTGATAATAAATGGCTTCATAGGATTATCATCCTTCAAAAAAAGCATTTTTTGGCATGATCAGTCATATTTTCAATATCAATGCCACAATTTCACAATTTCTGCCAGGGTATTCAAAGTTTTGAGCACAACTGTAGTTTATTTTTTTTGCATGTCAAGTATGTCTAAGCACAAGTTTACACTTTATTTCCAATTTTCCATCATCCTTTACAAAGGCAGGGCTACCCAATCATTGAAAGCAATGCTGGAATCAGATGCAAAACTTCATTTAAAATGTGCTTGTCACCCAATATTTGGCACACAGATCAAAGCTTGCAGATTATTCATCTGTTGGGATACTTTGGGAAATTTTCCAACAAAACTTTTATTGCACATGGCCAACTTTAACCACCATATGAATAGTAATAATAGTAATAAAGTTTAATAGTTCTAAACATTGAATATAGCTTCTTCCTATTATGTGAGTACCTAAGAAAAGATAAGCAACATTCCAAAATTCTCTTTTCCAATTTAAGATTTTTTATCCTGAAAATAGTTAGACTGTATTAAATGGTGCAGTGATTACATTACCCAAGCTTCAAGGATACTGCCAGGCATGACATGACAGAACAAAGATTAATTTTATAACCTTTTGGCCGGACTCTGAGATTATTTTATCAGTATTCTTGTCTTTGCTTTTCTTGAAGAATTGTGGCCCGTTTTAAGTCTGCCTGAACACATAAGAAATTCTCAAGGTGATTAATGTCACTGTAACCAACTCTTCAGATTCTCCATCTCTTTAGAAAAGAAAAATACAAACAGGTCCACTTTTGTACAGTGGATGTAAGGATCCGGAGTCACTAGCTGATAATGTTGGTGGAGTTGGACTTTGGATGTCTGACCTTTTGGTAGAACAAGTGTATTCCAACCTGTGACTATGATTATTTCTAAAAGTTTTTTATTTTGTATATTAATATATGTTTCTTTAGTTAGGTTGTTCTTCCTTAAAGGATTATACTGTAGATGGTCCTGAGGAAGCAATTTTGTGAAACATATTGACCTACCAATTTGCTTGTTCTGAATATATTTATTTATTTCAGGTACTTATATAGCATCGTCAATTTACACAGCACTTTACACATATATATTGAACATTCACATCAGTCCCTAACCCTCAAGGGGCGTACAATCTAAGGTCCCTAACTCACATTCATACATACACATACTAGGGACAATTTAGAAAGGAACCAATTAACCTACCAGCATGTCTTTGAAGTGTCAGAGGAAACCAAAGCAACCTACGCAGGCACAGGGAGAACATGCAAACTCCATGCAGGAGGTGCCATGGTCGGGAATTGAACCCATGACCCATTTACTGCAAGGCAGACATGCTAACCACTAAGCCACTATATGTACAAATTATTCATATTATTCGTACGGAAGATGAAATTGTACACAAATAAGGGGGGATGTCTAGTCCCCAATTTTTATTGTCTTTTTAATAGGTTGTAAATAAAGTATATGAATTTTACAATAATTGGGAATGTTTTTGCAATACAGCAGCAATACATTTTTTTATTATGGCAGAATAAAAACAATAATATAGTATTCTGGGCTTATGTTTTTTCCCCATCAATTTTGCATGGAAGACCCAACAAAAAGCAACATTGGATCTTTTCCAAGTGAACGGAACTCTGAAAGCTGCCACTGATTTTCCATCTATCCCTGTGCCAATGACAACTATAACATTTAAAATGTTTTTTGTATACACACGATGTGTCCCAATCTGACAAAAACTAGCCTTCTCAAACAACAACCATGACATGTTGTTTGGTCAAAACATCTGTATTTGCCCATAGATGAGAGTGACCCAATCTGCCCACTCTTATGGCCATGGGTGACCCCAGATGCTCGCCATCAGCCGACATCGGAGGAAAAAGAGCTATCGGGAACATAAGAAGACCTGTCCCCATCATTATTGCCTCCCATAAGCTGTAGCTAGCAGAGTCCTCTACCCTGCCTCCTGCTCATGCTCTCCTCCTATGACCATTTCAATAAATTTGTTAATTTGGCAGATCTGAGCAATCAAGTTTAAGGCAAAAGACTTTTGCCTTAAGTACAACCCTCTAAAGTACAAGCCTTACCTATTAAGTCTTTATACTTAAAGTGTATGTAAAGACAAAAAATTTTTTGTTGTCTTGGAATATTGGGTTATTTTTGTTGATTTCTGTCCCGTGGGGAGATTTCTCTTCACTTTCTGTCCTGAAGACACAAATAGGAGGAAATCTCCCAGGAGTAAGGGAAATTCTTATCTTAAACGGGTTTTTTCCAGAACATTTATCCCCATTGAATTATTTGTCTCCAACTTTTGCTCTGGTAACAGCTTTAAAATTTTGGATTACACCTCACTTTCTGTCTTGGTTAAAATGTTTGCCTGGACAAAGAGAGATATAGATCAACCTAATGGGGCACAGACAGCAACAAAAAAAAAAGAAGGAAAAGAGAGGCATTCCTTACCCTCTGAAAAAAAGTGCCTTTACATACAATTTAAACAAC